CATTAACCAGTCATTATCAGTCAAAGATGCAGACACAGAATTCACAAAATCAAGATACTCATCAGTAATCATAAACACATCACCCATGTTTTCAGCAACTTGGTTAGCCTGTTCATTATTAGACTTAACTTCTTTCTTAGGTTCAGCACACCTATTAGCATAATGACCAGACTTGCCACAGTTATAACACTTCCTATGTTTGAGCTTGTTCTTACTCCCTACTTTACCCTTATCAAATTTTTGGAAGTTTTGGTTACTGGAGGTAGAACCCTTGTTTGAAAACTTGTTTTTATGCTTGTTTTTCACAAAGTTTACATCACCCAAAGACTTGTTACCTTTGTTAGTTTTCAAATCTAGTTCCTTACTTTTCAAACCATTTATCACAGTGTCAAGAGTCACCCTGTCTCTGCCATACTTAATAGCAGATTTGACATCACTGTAAGAATCTGGAATAGCATTTAGAAGAACAATGGGGGTATATTCATCAATGGTTTTATCCCCAGTTAACTTTATGTCTTGCACAAGTTTTGTAAAAACATCAAGATTTTCATCTATATCTTTGTGCAAGTCAAGTTTAAATCTAAAAAACTTTTCCAGTAAAAACATTTTTGAGGGTAAAGAGGTTTCAGTATAAAGCTCTTCTAACTTATCCCATAAATCCTTAGCAGTATCAAGCTTACCTATCTTTCTAATCACAGAGTCAGATAGGTTCAGAATAATCAGGGAGTAAGCAAGTTCATCAAAATCATCTTTCATTTCTTTTGTGGTTTTATCATCATAAGTTTGAGTTATAGCCTTAAAACATTTCTGTTGGACTAAAACACCTTTCATTTTCTGTTTCCATATAGCAAAGTCACCCTTACCATCAAAGGTAGCCACAGGATAAGAATTCATATTCACACAGAAGAGAAACAGACAAGGGCTCAGACACAAGTAAGAGGCACACTAACAAATAAGCTGCACACAGACAGCAACAGAAAAGAAAACACACAAGCTGCACACAGACAGCAACAGAAAGGAAACACACAAGATGATCCCAGTAGGCCCAACAGAGAGCCAAGTGTTGCAGAAGGCAACAAAGTAACCAGTCGAAGGCAGGGCTTTCTCAGACTATTCCCCTTCCCCAGATTCCTGCGACACTAAGCGGTCCGGACAAGGGAAGTTTGGAGTGGCAAATAGTATGAGTTGGCCCAGAAGGTACCAAAGTAACCGGTCGAAGGCTGGGCTGTCTCAGACTACCCCCCTTCCCCAGATTCCTGCGACACTAAGCGGTCCGGACAAGGGAAGTTTGGAGTGGCGAGTAGCCTGAGTTGGCCCAGAACACTAGAACAGCGGAAGCAAGTTTTGACCACACAAGGTCAACCACAGGTTTTCCAGGATTTTACCCAGAAACAGAGTGAGTGAGTCACAGTAGTTAAATCCGTAGCACGAGTCTGCAAAAGAACGAGTGTCCAACTGATGCTCTGGTACCACTGTTAGGTACAGGTTCTTCCAAACATAGCTATAGATCTGTAAAACACAGTTAGATAACACAGGAAGTAAAAATGGAACAGAAAGAGTATATAATGAAGAACGGCTCAGTTCCCTATTTCCAGTGTTCAACTGTAGATCCAAAGATCTGGTGGTAACACCAACCGAAAACAAGCACCAAGCACTGCCACTGATCGAAACCCTAGATCTGACCCCAAACCTCACTCCGAGTTGACTCACCAACACATGCACAGTCAACTCGGTGATAACTCACCCTCTCCACTCAGCACAAACCCAGATTTCTACACACACACAGTCGAAACCCTCACAGAAGAGGATTAAGACCAGAAATGAAGGGGTTTGAATAAAAGGTGAATCACACTTGTCTCTCTCTCTCACCACAGTATAAATACACGGAGTTTCAACGGTCTTCAGCATTAAATGTGCTGCGACGGTAAGGACACCCATTGTCCGGCCGGACCTGCGAAGGTGTCGCCGGAAAACGACAAGGGGTGACGATACACTGTAGAGAGAGAAGGGGACAAGGGAAGAGAGAGAAACGGCGCAGCAGAACAAAGCTGCTAGGGTTGAGAGAAGAAAAGAGGAGTGGGTAAATGGAGGGCTCAGATTGAAGCCCTCTATCCGACGGTCAAGATTTAGGGTTGACTGATCAGTGGGCTTAAGTAACATTGGGCCCGATTTCCCAAGTTGGGCTTAGAATTAATATAGCTATTGGGCCCAGATCACAACAGATCATTTTATGTGGGCTCAATACTTAACAATAAGAGCCATAAAGCAAACGAAGTCGCCGCAAAGCTACTCATCAGAGTGGCGCCGTCAACAAACGTGGCTGAATTCATCTCCATCTCAGAATTCACTCGCCCGAATAAAATCAGGTGTAAAAAGTAGATGGCACCAGCAAAATAATAATATAATTCTCCAACAAGCGGGAAACCTGTATATGAACAGAGAGAGACCAAGAGCAAGCCGGAGCCGGAAAAAAAAAAAAAAAAAGGGCAAACCTGTAAATGAATAGAGAGACCAAGACCAAGCCGAAACACAAGAAAGCAAGTCCAGGACTACTGACCTGGCAATCAGTACCTACAAAGCAAAGCCCTCAAGATTCCAATTCCCGAAGTACAGTAAAAAAATTATGATACAAGGAAACGACTTTCAAATACTGGCAACAGCCGTTGCCATATATATACAGTTATATGATACCAAAATAATCCGACTCCCCCATTGAAGGAATAACGAAGGAGAGAACATGCATCAAAATAAAATTAAAACACCTTATTGGTAATAGTTAAGATACCTATGGTAAATGTCTACAATGAATCAATCTTTCATCAATCCTCAGCAAAACAAATAACCGGTGAAGATAAGAAACCAATATCAGCCACATCAATATTGACAAAAAATTACAGGGAAACAAATGGCAAAATAATCGAATTAAATGGTAAATATAGGAACTGATTAGTAGTATTACCCAAATAAACGTAATTCCCAAAGGCCTACAAGAAAAATCAATTCATACACCTGCAAGAAAAAGCAAGCCCAAGAATAGATAAATGTGTAAATTCAGGTTGTAAATTAAAAAAAAAAATAATAATAATAATAAATAAATAAATCAAGCGAAAGATATTAAGAAATGATCGAAGAGAAGTAACCGATAGGGTGAAAGTTGAGAGAACAGGAAAACCGACTGTCTCAGAGGGTGTGTACAAAGCTCGCTTGTAACCCAATTCAAATAATAATCATAGGAATATGCGAAAGATTTTAAACTCGGTATTGCGAATTTACGAAAATTCACAATACCGAGTTTAAAATCTTTTGATTTACGATTCAAATCTTACGATTCAATTATTCATACCTAAGTCGATTCAAATGTTAAAATAAATCTTAAATATCGACAAAACGATCAAATTTTACGATTTACGATTTACGATTTAAGAAAACAATAATTTATTATATTATTTATAATAAACGTGTTATAATTACTATTTTGGTCCCTATATTATATACCATTTTAAAGTATTTAAACCGGAAATGCCCCCAAGTGGAAATCAAGTTGTAATTTCCGAAAATCCACATCTCTGGCTGAAACAGTTGGGAAGATTGAAGAATCACCCCTATACTTACTCCATATTCCTAGCCGCTCCACCCTAATTACAAATTTGATTTCAATATCCAAAATATTCGCCACATTTATTATCACAAGTTTATCATAAATAATATAATACCTTTAAAGTTTTCATAAATCGTAAATCGTAAAATTTGATCGATTTGTTGATATTTAAGACAACAAATCCACCTCCCGTCCGACACAGTTTTGAAAATTGAAGAATCACCCCTATACTTACTCCATCTTCCCAGTCGCTCCACCAAAATTTTACCTAATCGTAAAAAAAAAGATAAAAAAAGATGCAGCCTAAAAATCGATTTATGAAAGTATATCGAAAAACATAATACGATAAGTTCTTGTATTCACCCGAGGCACCCGGCACCGCCCATTGCGCGGTGCTCTACACTAGTATATATATATATATAAGTACATATATATGGGGATCGTCCCCTTTTTTTTTATGTCTTTCTTTTTGCTTTTTTTCTGCCCTATTTAAATACCAAACGTCGTTGTTCTCGTCTTCCTCTCCAATCAGCTGGCCGCGTTCTTTTCTTTTCCCTTTTCTTCCCAAGTTGCTCGACCGCGACGCCTCTGCTTCTTTTTTCCATTTTCTTTTAATCCGATTGCTTGAAAACGGCGTCGTTTCAGGGTGGGCCTCCACATCTGGCCACAATTGTTGACCTCCACCGTTCCACCGTTCGCCGCTTCCACGTCCGCCGCTGGCGCTTCGTCCGATGCCCACCGCCCCTGCCGCCAACATCACTTCCCACCTCTTTTTTCAACCAATTGCAGACGCCGCCCTCTATCTTTGTTTAATATTATCCCGCATCTCCGCCACCTAAGTTCTCTGTGCAACCCCCACCTCCTTCTTCTCTTTGCCACCTAAGTTCCCAGGTTTTATTTCAAATTGCTGAAAAGGGTTGCATTTTTTTTCGTTCTTATCTGTTTTAAGGTGTTGATATAATCATGTTTGTATCACCATTAATAGAGCTTCAATTTGTAAGAATTGTCTGTTTCTTTTCTTCCTCGTTTTTTCTCCGTATTGCTGCCTCTTTAAATTGTTCGATTTAATTAATATTTGCATTCGATTTCGATTGTGTAGGAACATCGTTTACAGTATGCTTAGAGACTCATGTAAATCTGCCCCTTTTTGTTTTCGTTATCCATGACTGTGGACTACTTAATTTTGCAATCCTGTATTAATTACTCTTCATCTCAAACGAGATTTCCGATCGTCGTCGTTTTGATAATTAAGCTATTTCTGCGGGTGTTTGCATTTTTCGTGATGCGCATAAGGTGGTGAAGGATTCGTCGAGAGATTCTAATGGAGTTCACCGGAATGCTTTGGTGCTATCCGGAAGCAAAAGACCGTCGTACGAGTCTTTTCGGAGCTGTGACGATCGTCGATTTAGCAATGCCAAAAGGTGACTGTTGCTTTCACCTTTCTACTGGTATTTGATTTCAATTTACTTTGTACCTTGTGCATTTGTATAAGTGGAAATTAACAATTTTTGAAGAATTATAGAGGCCCTTTACGCGGCCTGATTAAAGTGGACGCAAAGTAAGAAGAGGAGTGGTACCATTAACAAACGTGGTCGAACTCATATACATCTCAGAAATCACTCGGCCGAATAAAATCAAGTGTAATAAGTAAATGTCACCAGCAAAAAATGAATGTAATTCTCGAAGAAAGACATATACGAAAAAGCTAAACGAACCAAAGTAAGTCGTAACACAAAAAAATATATATATGAGCCGTAAAGCAAAAGAAGTCGTCGGACGCGCAAAGCTACTCTTCGGAGTGGCGCCATCAACAAACGTGGCAGAACTCATCTCCGTCTCAGAAATCACTCGTCCAAATAAAATCAGGTGTAAAAAGTAAATGGCACCAGAAACAAATGAATGTATTTCTCGAAGAAGCAAAAAACCTGTATATGAACAGAGAGACCAAGAGCAAGCCGAAGGTGGAACACAAAAAAAGGGCAAACCTGTAAATGAATCAAGAGACAAAGGCCTAGCCAAAACACAAGAAAGCAATTCCAGATAAAGGAGCAACAACACATGCAAAAGTTTTTGAAGAACTTGTTCCCTCTTGCAGATTAATAGCGAAAAAACAATAACCAATTACAGTTTCAAAGAATAAATTGTAAATAATAAAAGAGCATAACGGAAACAAAAATTATGGAAATCCCTATACATTTCAAAAAATTATGTTATTGGTTACAGAAATGTACTAATTCTGCAACTCCCTATACATCTAAAAAAAATGATATTGGATAAAGAAATGTGCTTATTTAGAACCATATGCCAACGAGCAAGACAAGGTGCTAAACAAACAAAAACAAAAACAAAATCAAAATTACTCAATGAGCAAGAAAAATTCTTAAATACCCAAAGTAACTCGGTTTTTCTGATATCTTGTAATAAACAAAACCTGGTGCTATCCTATACCAGTGGCTTTCCATTATCCCGACTTTGAGGCCTGATTTGACTTTTCGCCATTGGGGTACTTCCGCTCTCTCTGGCTGAAGATACACACCTCCTCCTCGCCGAAATTGTCCTGCCTGAAACAATATATGATTGAGACGACCGCACCTTCTCGTAAATGGTGTTGGACGAGGTTGGCTCGGTGACCAAGGGCTTGCTTATTAGTTGGGTTTGCTTCTACCGAGGCTATGTTCAGGAAATTGGGCCTTTTAGTTAAACCAAAAAGAACATTTCATATTAGTAGCACATCGATAGTTCATTAGGCACAACTACTAACACAGCTAACTTTAGAACATAATTTGGCAGTGCTAAAGCAGGCAATATCATGTCCAAATAGACAACTTCATCTTTGAGATTAATAACTTCTAATTAAAATAAGGTTGAACACGCCCCCCCCATTGGAGTTCTTCTCTTTACATAAGTTTCTGAAGGCAAGACATCAAATCTTGACCCTATGGGCATATATGGTGGTTATTGAAACCCAAAAAACACCGAAGTGGGGAAATTTAATTGCCGTTATTTTTCTGGAGTATATCAAATAATAGATAAAAAACACAGAAGAAAAAACATCAAATTCCTCCACGATAAGGAAAGCACACACGCACAAAAAGAACGGAACAACAAAGACAACAAATTATTATCTGGAAGTGCTTGCTACCTTTGAAGTGGTGAACACGAGCATCCTCGTTAAAATCTACAACCTGTTATTGACCAGGTAATTTGGAAATTGGTATTAATAGAAAAAGAAAAACATTATGACCAACGGGAAAGCAAAAACAAAACAGAGAGAAAGAAAATGAAACTCACAGGGCAATTGCAAATTGTTGAGAAGTTGCTCTGAATCCGCAAAGAAATGGGAAAACAGCTTCGAATACAAAATCCGGGATGCTCCATTCTTATCTAGAAAACCAGTACAAAATGGGGAAGAAAAGAAAAAAAACAAAAAGTAAAATACCTCGCGATAATGAGAAGTGGAGAGGTGAACATTCCACATCCTAATCACTGACGATAAAACTACTGTTAATAGCAATCAAAGATATAAATTTCTATTTATCGCAGCTCTTAAAGATTTACAAGGAAAATAATTACCATTTCACTACAACAAAGACAAATCCATGTAGAAACCTCTGCATAGTCTTGCTTCATAGTTCCTTTATGAAAAAAACTCCTGTTAAATAGCAATCAAGGAAACAAAAGACAACATAATGGATAGTGTTTAATCTGTGCAAAAAATGAAGTGTTTAAATATGAGTAAACACTGATAGATATCAGGAAAACAAGTTTGCAACTCGAATTAGGCACATAAAAATAGCTGCATCATTACCAAACAAAACAAGAAGAAATGTATATACGAGTCTCGTTCTTTTTCCCCTTTCTCTTCTCCTCCTTCTGCCGCCGCACCGCCACCGCTGCTGACCGCCGCTTTCATTGATTTCGACGACCCTCTTCCAACCATACATATGAGGCTGCAACTTTCTTTTCCCCTGCCCCTGCCCCTGCCCCTGCCCCATCTCTCTTCGGAGATCGCTCACCCTTTCCCCCTTTGTTGAGGTACCAATCCATGAATTTATAAACATATGATTGATGATAAACATGAATGTTATTTAAGTTTGTTTACTTATATATGTTATATTCGATTTGTTTAGAGAAAATTGTGGTTGATCATGAATCTGCATCTATAGACTATATGTCTGTTTGTTAGAATTTCAGAATTTTAATATGTGGAGCTTTGTTGGACGTTGTCGGTCAACGCGCTCAGACTGAAATCGAAGACCTTCAGATTGCCGTTCTCGTCCAGGAGAAGATTCTCCGGCTTCAAATCGCGGTGGGAGATGCCGCGGAGGTGGCAGTAGCTGACGGCGGAGATCAGCTGCTGGAAGTACTTCCGGCTGAGATCCTCACAGAACCGGCCCTTGACGACCTTCGCGAACAGCTCGCCGCCGTTGACGAAGTCCAGTACGAAATAAATCTTCGTCCTGGTGGCGAGAACCTCGAACAATTTGACGATGTAAGGGTGGCGCAACCGGCTCATGGTCGAAATCGAAATCTCGCGTTTTATGTGCGCCATTAGATTAACATTGTTGTTGAGCTTGCTCTTGCTCACCACTTTCACGGCGACGCTCCGGCCGTTGGAAATATCCCTAGCGTGGTACACTTTCGCGAACGCGCCGCAGCCTAGAAGCTTCCCGATCTCGTACTTTCTGAACAACGCATTCTCCGCCGATAAAGCCATGTTTGCGGCGGAAGACTGCCGCGACTAGGGACCGGAAACCGAAAACTCGTCGTTTCCCGGCATCAGTGCGCAATAATTCAGAGACCGGAAAAAACAAATTTCGATTTTTTTTTTTTGGTGAAGATTAGGTTTTAGAAAAGGGATTGGTTGTAAGGTTCTATTCTACAGCTAATAATAATTGGGCGGGGGATGAATTGTGTCCGATATTGCAGTAAGTGGGGGAGAAAGAGTATGAATGGATATCGGACCACTATTTAGTCTTGCTTGAGAAAATATCGGGTAACAAGTTTCAAACTTCTGCCTACTTTTATCAATAACAATATTTTTGTTCGTTGTTTTTCATTCATATCTTGCCTTCATTGAACAAAGAAGTAAATTTTCTTTATTGCTAACGGTTTTGACTCTTATTGAATTGTTCAAATGTATAAAGGCATATGTTGATCAGCATATATAAATTGAATTTCTTTTTGTAGGACATTTCAGCATATTTTTTTGTCTTTAGCTTTCCTCGTCCAGATATTTAATTGGTAAATATGCTTGCTTAGTTACCTCTTATTGTTAATCGATGCAGAAATTATTGAATTTGCTCGACCGGCTGTTACTGGCAATTGCTTACCTACGCGGCTACACTCCAACTTTATTCAAACCAAATTTGGTGTGAGGGAGGACTATTTGGCAAGTTTTCATCTATTTTCGTCTTTTCGAATGTAAAATTAAAGTAATCATACTGACGGTTGTTTATTCGCTCTCCGTAGTGGCAGATGGTAGATCATCAATGCAGAATTTTGGGTTGTTCTTTCTTTAAGGCTGTTTATAGCCTGTGTTTGCATTTTTCGTGATGCGCAGAAGCTGGTGAAGGATTCGTCGAGAGATTCTAATGGAGTTCGCCGGAATGCTTTGGTGCTATCCGGAAGCAAAAGACCGTCGTCGGGTGTGAGGGAGGACTATTTGGCAAGTTTTCATCTATTTTCGTCTTTTCGAATGTAAAATTAAAGTAATCATACTGACGGTTGTTTATTCGCTCTCCGTAGTGGCAGATGGTAGATCATCAATGCAGAATTTTGGGTTGTTCTTTCTTTAAGGCTGTTTATAGCCTGTGTTTGCATTTTTCGTGATGCGCAGAAGCTGGTGAAGGATTCGTCGAGAGATTCCAATGGAGTTCGCCGGAATGCTTTGGTGCTATCCGGAAGCAAAAGACCGTCGTCGGAGTCTTTTCGGAGCAGTGATGATCGTCGATTTAGCAATGCCAATTCTTCCTCATGCTCTTCGTCATATGTTCTCCATCTGTTTTCCCCCAGCCATTTCTCCGCCTACAATCGGAAAATTCCAGTTAACTAATTTTTGCAACCCTAGGTTGATTCGCGTGCTCGTCAACGGTTGCGAGTACAGAAACCTCTGTATTAATGAGTCAACTCAGCCGTAGAAGCAATTGATTGAGAAATTTATAAAATGGCGAAGCCTCAAGTAACTATCACTCTCGGCCGCTCCGGTCAGGTACTCATGTAATTCTGCCCCTTTTTGTTTTCGTTATCCATGACTGTGGACTGCTTAATTTTGCAATCCTGTATTAATTACTTTTCATCTCAAACGAGATTTCCGCTCATCGTCGTTTTGATAATTAAGCTAATTCTGCGGGTGTTTGCATTTTTCGTGATGCGCAGAAGGTGGTGAAGGATTCGTCGAGAGATTCCAATGGAGTTCGCCGGAATGCTTTGGTGCTATCCGGAAGCAAAAGACCGTCGTCGGAGTCTTTTCGGACCAGTGATGATCGTCGATTTTGCATTGCCAAAAGGTGATTGTTGCTTTCACCTTTCTACTGGTATTTTATTTCAATTTACTTTCTAGCTTGTGCATTTGTATAAGTGGAAATTAGCAATTTTTTTTTTATGATTTGTTGATTCAGAATGAGAGTGGGTGTCAGTGCACGGAGCTACGGGTACAACAGCCGTTTAGACGGTAATAGTTAATTTCGTAAAATAGATGCTCCCTCGTGTTAGCTTTTTTCGTCTCTTTTTAATCAATAAATTTCATGGTGTATTTAAATTTTATTGCTGTAGATTGAAGAGGTCTTCGCCTGAAACTAACACGCAAGAGAATGTCAAAGCATATAGAGCTCGAAAACGAGAGGCGTAAAAAGATGGAACTACACGACAAGGCATCAAGAGCTACACCACCTTCTAGAAGGGCTGCTGAAACACAACCGATAGGTTCAACGATTAAAAATTCTTATGCTTCTTGGAATTCAAATGCAGCGAAAACGAGATCCCCCGAAAGAATTCCAAAATATTCTGGTGGATTTTCTAACAACCCCATGAATTCTGTTGGTCAACTGCCTCATGTACCATCAATTAGGCCGATAGATGCTTCAAGAGAAGAGCATTTGTCGATGAGGGATGCCTTGGAATCTTCTAGGCCAGATTTACCTATATTCACCACTCCGAGAGGTTTTCTGGATAATGGCAAGATGGTCACCGATCTTCCTCCAGCAACAGGTGGCATGTCCAGACCTATTTACCAGGTAAAAATCTATTTTATCTCATATTCCGTTTACCTCGACTCCTCTGTTTTTGTTTAGCTCTGTTTTGGTGATTTTTTCCTTATTTTAAGATCATGCATTGTTGAAGCAGGTGAAAGCGATGAGGCAACTACAACTTAGAAAATTGAGGCGTGTGGCAAACAAGCAAATGTGCCGCAAACCGCTGTAGCTGAATTTATGGTTTGTGTTTCGTTTGCACAATTTTTCTTTTTACCTTTAATCAAATGAGGTCTGGTATCGATTGTTTAATTTATGCTACGATTCTCGACTGGAATTTCAACTAATGAATGTAAACACTTTCATTGCAGATCTGCTTGGGGGGTCTCGTGTGCTGATCATATTAATACGTTAACCTCATTTTACATAGTCTGGTAAAACATATTAGAATTCAGCTACGCTCTATGATTCCATGTTCTCTTCTGTATCACAAAATGCTGCTTGTTTATTTAGTACAGGTTGGTACTTTTGAAATTTTCTTATTAGTTTTAAGTGTATCATGTTGTATTACTGTTATTATTAGCTGCAACAATAAAAGGTTTCTGATAGTTATGTGAGTATTAGTTTCTCTGATTTTAAGCACATTAAAAGTGACATCTTCGCTAGGTTAATCTCATTTTACACTTCTAATTCTATAATAAAATATAAAGACTTCACTAATTTGTTTAGGTATGTAGTTGTTTTCTTTATTTATTAATATGATATGACTATATATATACCTAGCCTCTTTTGTCAGTGTTGCGACTCTAATCTATAAATTCATTATTTTGTTTTTCAATTTTGCATTGTTTTCTCTGGGAATCCGAGTTTCAAACATGTACATGAGTTAGGTTATCTATGTATAAGTTTTATTATATTGGTTTATAGGTGGTAATCTGGGTACATGTGGTTGCCTTGTATTATGATTTTTCAGAATCGTTGCCTTTGCTTCTAGGTTTATCAGTTCTGTTCTTTTTCTGTGTTTACATTTATTACAGCAATATTCATTTTTTATTAAATCGTTTCCTTCCATAATTTGGTTTTAATTTCTGATAACGGCATTATGCGCAGGCCTTTGTGTGAGCATCATTATTCAATCACTCAACAATTCGTGCAGGGGTGTTCTTCACGGGGCGCACAAAGCCGGACAAATATTTGCGGATGAAGAAAATATTTGATTTAACACAGGAAAAATTTATCGTCGTCCTCATCTTCCACCTCCAATCTTTTTAAATCCCACAGTTACTTTCTCATGTTGCTTTGTGCAGATAATAATTGATTTCAGTTATGATTTCAGAGCGCATTTTCCGTAAGCATGATGCTCTTTTGTTTTTATTGCATGCCACACATCCAATTAAAAGCAGGCAATTAATAGCTTCAAGCAATAGGACCGTGAAAGAATGAGCCCTAAAATGGGGAAAATTGACATTCATTATGAGGTTCTTTTACTATTCATTATCAGGCTTTAACCATTTGCATTTGTTTTCTTGTTGTTTGTCTTTTTTCCAAATTTGGAACTAATATTTCTATTTTGACTTTAATAGGGTCAGCCATGATGCCTCCTTAATGCATCATTCTAAACTTACATTGCCAGCTCAAGGTGATCTTACGAGGGAAAGTATTTTTACGTGCATCGTTGATATTTCCTCGAAAGTGTTCTTCTATTTGGTTTATTCTTTTTTGTTTATTGTTTGGTACAAATTGCTATAGATGGGTGGTTCTTTTGACGCTAATATGTTGGATTTTTTTTATAGGCTCCGTTTCAATTCTTGATAATTTGGAACCATTGCTCCTAATCAAAACGACTGTTAGATTTCTTAGGGCCTCGTTTGGGAACATTCGATGGAGCTTCATTATATTGTCTATCATGCCTAATCATGATTGCCAAACAAGGCTTAAGAGTACAAAATCATCATTTTTGTTAATCCTTGCAGCTAAAAGAAAAGTTGGAGAAACGTCGATTAATGAAATCAGCTCGAGATCCCACGAAATTATTACATTGGTATATTGTGATTTTATTTAATTTATTGTTTATTTATTCGATAACTTTTGTCGCAGACTATTGAAAGCTGTTCTCGTGACTTTTTTGGAAGGGACAATGCGAGCACTCTTACAGCTGCTGTGGTGTGAAATTTATCTAACAACAAAAAAATAAAGGTATAGCATTATTTAATGTTTTCTAATGGGGGAGTAATTTTATTTGAAACACGTGAATTAATTTCACAATGTGTTTTTAACTTTTCTTAACTTCTAAACTAAATCTTAGTTAGTGGGCTTAGTAGGGTTAAGTAGTGCTTAGTGGATTTAATTATGGGATTTATCTTAACTTCCTAACTAACCCACTAACCCATTATCTTGAGTGCTCTTATGGTTGGTTTTCTTGCAGATCATGGGCTGAAGAGTGGAAGCTTGGCAAGTCTATAAATACCAAACTCAAGACTCAAGATTATTACAGATTTCGAGGAAACAAAAAAATAGAGCTGAAGTTTTAATCTCGAGAATTTTAGTGTGTTTTCTAGGATCTGTTGTACGTACTATTTATAAGTGTACATTCTTTGAAATCTAGAATTTTTGATATCTTTCTTTTAGTATCTAGATTTGGTTGTAAGAGTGATCTTGAAAAAGATTCACTCATAAGGAAGAAGTTTTCGCACTCTTCTGTTTGTATTCTTGGAATACTGATTTTAATATATTTTTCCGTCCTGTAAAGGACAAGTTCACAAGTCTTTACTTGTGAACATTTTTAATTCTGAGTATTGTCTTTTAATCTTTAGATTTCCGCTGCATGTTGTCTCAAGTGTCATAACATTTTAGATAACATCTCTGTATAATACGAATTCGGGACCATAAATTCTTTCAATTGGCATCAAGAGCCAACACTTGACGTATACTAAGTGTTTGTTCCTATTTTCTTTACAGAAACGAATTCGTGATGGATACTCAGATGACTGCTTCTATGCGACCTCCTGTACTTGATGGCACGAACTACACCTACTGGAAAGTCAAGATGAGGGCGTACATCAAAGCCATTGATGAGAGAGCATGGAGATCTATTCTCACTGGATGGAAGCCACCAACTATCACAGATGTGGACGGAGATGTTTTTCCAACTCCAGAATTACGGTGGACACCAGACGATCTATCAAATGCTAACCAAAACTCAAAGGCGTTAAATGCAATTTTCAATTCAGTAGATTTAACAATGTTTAAATTAATCTCTGTATGCACTTCTGCAAAGGATGCTTGGGAAATTCTTCAGCTACATTGTGAGGGATCAGATAGTGTCAAAAGAACCAAGCTCAGATTACTCTCTTCCAAATTTGAGAGACTGAGAATGGAGGAAACTGAAACAATTTCTCAGTACAATGAGAAGCTGATTGACTTGGCTAATGAATTTCAATCCTTAGGTGGTCCTTTGAGCAACGAGACACTAGTGAATAAGGTATTGAGAACTCTTCCAGAAAGGTTCAGCATGACGGTTACTGCTATTGAGGAGGCTAAAGATACATCATCTCTATGGCTGGACGAATTAATAGGAAGTCTCAAGTCCAGAGAGATGAACTTCGAAGATCAAAGAAAGGAGAAAGGAAAGGCTATCTCAAATGCACTCCAGGCAGAATTAGAGAAGGAAGATGTTGCTCCGGAATATGATGATGATGCAGAAGAATGCCTCAATAATGTGGCATTTCAGATTCAGAAATTCAATAGGGCGTTCAGACGAAGTGGAATCAAGCCCAGGCAGTTATTCTCAGAAGGGTCTCCACAAAATCGACAAACTCATCCCCGGAACAGATCTATTCCACAGAGAACATTTCCTCAAACACCTTCTCAAAACAATTTAAAAAATTCTTCTTTTATTCGTTCAAATTCTGAACCACCTAACTTGGATCATATTAAATGCAGGGCCTGTTCAGGATTTGGACATTATGCTAATGAATGTGCAAATACCTTGAGAAGGAGAGGAATGAGTTTGATTTGTGCTGTCAGTGATGAGGAGGAAGAACAACCTGAACAGACAGAAGAACAGCAATCCTCTAAACAAGCTCTTTCTGTCAGATATCTTACTGGAAGTTCCACTGAAACAGAATCCCAAGGAGTCTCCCTGGATGCTGCAACACTTTCTGAAAAACTTTCAATTTGTGAGTTAAATACTGATCAATATACATGTTTAAACTCTATTTCTGTGAATGCAGCAGAATCCAGTAATGAAGCAGTCAGTGATGATGAAGAAATGTGTAAAAAGCTGATCAGAAACTTGGAGAATAAGACTCAAGCTCTAGATGCAGCCAACAAGGAAAATTCCTCCCTCAAAGAAACAATCACACATTTGGAGGTTGGAATCACCAAGAAGGATCTTGAACTGGCAAAAGTGAAAGAAGAACTCAAAAAGGCAACTCTAGCAATCAAGAGGATGAACACTGGCACAACTAAGCTCGAAGAGATTGTGTCAATGGAAAAGCACTACAAACATGAAGGGCTAGGGTTCAAAACACAAATGAAGCCAGTTAAGAAGAAAGAAATTGTCTTTGTAAAAGAGAAGGGTGCAAACAGAAAGGATTGCAGGAAGTCCACAGTCACCACTCCAGATTCCAGAATAAGAGGTTATGTTTGTCATTACTGTTTCTCACCAGGACACATTCGTCCATTTTGTGAAAAACTCAGCAGTGACAAAATGTTGTATAAAATAAGCCACAACACTTCAAGGAACACTTCAAAGAAAAAGGTAGAATCTACCAAAAAGGAGTGTAAAATATGGACTCCCAAAGGTAAATTTTTGTGCAAAGCAGTATACACCTCTTTAAATGCTAACATTTCAGGTTCATGGTACTTTGATAGTGGATGCTCTAGGCACATGACTGGAACAAAGGAATTTCTATCAAACTACCACACACTTAATGGAGGACGTGTAACCTATGGAGGAGGAGCTAAAGGCAAAGTGGTTGGACGTGGAACACTCAGTATTGAGGGGCTTCCAAAACTCTCAAATGTTTTACATGTTGAAGGATTGGGGTCAAATCTCATTAGTATCAGTCAATTGTGTGATGATGATCTACGTGTAGAATTTGATAAATACTGTTGTTCTGTGTTTGATAATCAAAATCATTGTGTACTTACAGGTTCCAGATCAATGGATAATTGCTATCAAACAGGTGACACCATCTCATGCAAGAGTTCAAGAGTAAGTGAAGTAGAGCTGTGGCACCAGAAACTAGGACATACAAACTTCAAGAATCTGAAGCTGCTCAACAAGTACAATGCCATAAGAGGAGTACCAGATCTCAAGATCAAGGATATTCCTATATGTGGAATGTGCCAGAAGGGAAAGCAAACCAGAGTACCACACAAAGTGTTGCAACACGTTGGTACCACTATTTGTTTTGAACTTGTACATATGGATCTTATGGGTCCTATAGAGGTAGAAAGTCTAGGTGGTAAAAAATATGTCTTTGTATGTGTTGATGATTTTTCAAGATATACTTGGGTGTATTTTTTGAGAGAAAAATCAGACACCTTTGAAGTATTCAAAAATTTGTACAGGTTTGTTAGAACTCAATTTCAAGTTTCTGTTCGTAGGATAAGATCTGATCATGGAAAAGAATTTGAGAATGCTTTATTTTTTGCTTTTTGTAATAAAAAGGGAATAAAGCATGAATTTTCTGCTCCAAAAACTCCTCAGCAAAATGGCATTGCTGAAAGGAAAAACAGAACTATTCAGGAAATGGCTAGGGTGATGATGAGTGCAAAAAATTTGTCTAAAAGGTTTTGGGCTGAGGCTGTCAACACAGCCTGTCACATCTCAAACCGTGTGTATCTAAGATTAGGATCTATGATGACTTCATATGAAATTCTTTATGGTAAGAAACCTAATCTAGAATACATGCATGTGTTTGGGTGTGTCTGCTATGTTCTAAATGATAGAGATCATCTAGCTAAATTTGATTCAAAAAGTGATTTGAGCTTGTTTATGGGATACTCTAATAACAGTCATGCTTATAGAGTATACAATCTAAGAACTCGAACCATTATTGAATCTGTAAATGTGGTATTTGATGACTTTGCTGATCTCCGCAGTAAAACAGCTGAAGATGAAGTTGATGACTTGATTGC